TCCAGCTCCCTGCTAACACACCTGGGAAAGCAGCAGAAGGTGGCTCAAGTACTTGGGCCCCTGCACCCACATGGGAGACCTAGAAGAAGCTCCTGACCCCTGGCTTTGGAATGGCTCAGCTCCAGCCATCGCAGTCATTTGCAGAGTGAACCTGCGGATGGAAGACCTCTCTCTCTCCATCTCTACCTCTCTGTAACTCTTTCAAATAAATAAAATAACTCTTTAAAAAATTCTTGGTGGGGTTTCTTCACAATATCCTATTTCAATACCTAAAAGCTCAAGAAAGCAGTATATTTATGATTACAGTTTTATTATAGCAAAAAAATTTTTATTATACAAATCAGAACCAGCCAAAAGAAGAGACACATCTGGTGGGATCTGGGAGGACCCCTAATGTGACATTTCCACATCCTTTTCCTATAGAATCAGAACATAATCACTTTCCCAACACACTATTATGTAACACTTGCTAACCAGAAATATCCACCTGAACAGGGATGTTCAGAGTTTTTATCACATATGCATGATTGACTAAATCGTTGACCATGCCATTGAATTCAATCTCCATACACCATCCTCTCTTTGGAGGTCAGGCCTATATCACTTGGCTCAAAGTCTTCACCCACTTTCCATGTTGATCTTTCTAGCATGTCCCTTCCGAATCCTCAGTCATTGGATTGGTTTAAACTTTCTTTAGCCCACCATAAACAAAGACACACCAACCATGAGGAAATTCCAAGGATTTAGAGGCTACCTCCCAGGAACTAGGGACAAAAGCCAGGCACATTCTTTATTATGTAACAGCTTTACACCATCTAAAATAAAGCCTGCCAAAACTAAGGTGTGCAAGACATAAATTATCTTGATAGTCCAGAATGTTTATTCATTTGTCTACTTTAGTCATGTGATCACCAAGAAAGGACTAAAGAACATGGAGTTCATGTACAGATTACAAGTCTGAATTGTACAAATTGAGATGACAGCATCAGTTTCCATTTGAGCAAGTCTGTTAGGCTTTTGCATACAAGAAAATATATTTGGATCAAGAAATACTAACAAATTAGATTACACTACATTTAGACTGTTTCAGGAATTGTGCTAGTGTGAACAGAATAGACATACAGGGGTTGACATTGTAGCAAATGGTTAAGCTGCTCTCTAGAACATAAGCATCCCCTATCTGAGTGCTTGTTTTAATCATGGTTACTTCACTTCCCATCCAGCTTCCTGCTTATGCTCCTGGGAAGACAGTGAACAATGGCCAGAGTAGCTGGGTCCCTGCCACCCATGTAGAAGACCTTGATGGAGTTCTGGCTCCCAGCTTCAGTGTTACTCAGCCCTGGGTATTGCAGGCATTTGGAGAGTGAACCAGCAGATAGAAGATCTCTCTTACTCTTTCTGTGTCTCCCTCTTTGCCTTTAAAATAAATAAATCTTTTTTTTAACAATAAACACATAAACGGAACTAAACTTGAATGAGTTGTACAAATCTGATGCCATGTGAAATCTTGCCTACATCGAACAAATTAGATTCAGTAGACAAATCTTCATTCATTGGAAATGTTATTTCCTACATGGGCATTTGGCATAGAAGTTAATACTCTATTATTGAAGTGCCTGCGTTCAAGTCCAAGCTCTGCTTCTGATTCCAGCTTCACTAAAGCAGACCCTGTGAGATAGCAAATGATGGCTTACTTACTTGGATGCGCAACTCACTTAGGGAACTTGGATTGAGTTCTAGGTTCCTCGCTTTTGCTTGCCCCAGCCTGGGCTGTTGCAAATGTTTGGAGAGTGAACCAGTGAGTAAGAGATCTTTCCTTCTCTCTGCCTAACAAATAAATTTTAAAAAATAAAAAGTAAAAAAAAAAGTTACTTCCTCTTATGTGGTATTCCTTATTGTTTTAATAAATTTTAAATCCATCATTTATAGTTAGTAGATAAATCAATCTAACTCTTGATTATAATTAAATAGTAAATCATAAAAGCTTCTACCTACATTTATAAGTATCTTAAGTAGCCAATTGCATCCATTTTAGCAATATTTTTTTAAACTTTTATTTAATGAATATAAATTTCCAAAGTACAGCTTATGGATTACAATGGCTTCCCCCCCCATAACGTCCCTCCCACCCGCAACCCTCCCCTTTCCCACTTCCTCTCCCCTTCCATTCACATCAAGATTCATTTTCGTTTCTCTTTATATACAGAAGATCAGTTTAGCATACATTAAGTAAAGATTTCAACAGTTTGTGCCCACACAGAAACATAAAGTGAAAAATACTGTTTGAGTACTCGTTATAGCATTAAATCTCAATGTACAGCACACTAAGGACAAAGATCCTACATGAGGAGTAAGTGCACAGTGACCCCTGTTGTTGACTTAACAAATTGACACTCTTGTTTATGGCATCAGTAATCACCCTAGGCTCTTATCATGAGCTGCCAAGGCTATGGAAGCAAGAAGCCCAAGGTAAGGAATAACTCCTAAGAAGGAATCAAAAACTCTCTCTAGAACTTTAACCTCCAAAACTTTGAAAAATTGTAAGGTAAGGAAAGAAGGTAGAGCAACACAAAGCTTTTAAGTAGTGGGAAGATAAATCGCTGTGATTAGGGGATCTCTGTTTCTAACAGCATGACAAAATATTCTGCCCAATCCTCAACTGAAGATGGCCACAGATGCTAGACAAAATGCAGAACTGACCTGACAAATTTTTAAAATTCAGAGAGGAAAACAAAACCAAATATAATCAATGTAACCCTCAAGCTGCCTTTTACCCTGGGGATTTATGCAACAGCCTGTTCCCTCTAAGGGCAAAAAAGAAAATTGAGAGCCTAACAAACAGAACACCACTGTAAAGAAATCTATAGCCAAATAACTGTACCAGCAATGTAATGGTGAATGAGAAATAAGCCCATCCTACAAAACAAAACAGACATCAGGAAACATTACCAAAAAGTAAAACTTTGCCCAGGTCCTGTGTCAGCAAACCAGTCCTCTGGCCAGATCTACCTGCTGCATGTTTTTGTAGAACTCAGGCACTCAGGATAGTTTTTATGTTTTAAAATAGCTGAAAAAACTCAAAACTGACACAAGGAAATTTTACATGAAATTCAAATTTCACTGTTCATAAAGTTTTGTTATAACACAGTCATGACTACTTGTTTATATATTGTCTGTGTTTGCTTTCACACTGCAGCAACATGAACTGAGTGACTGCAAAAGAGACCACAATACTTGCATATTCTACAGTATTTATTTTCTGGTCCTTTACTGGAAAAGTTCACCAGCCTTTGATTTAGGATTGTTGGAACTTTCTTCAGGAGTATTTCATATCTCCCACCCATGTAATATTACATATTCCTATGTTTAAATAAGACTCAAGTTAAATGATAGTACAATGATTTTAAAGTCAATGAAATAGAATTTAAGCTATTCATTTCTGCTCTTCTGGGTGACCACTTTGAGTTTGTGTTAAAACTTAAAAATAATTAAACAGTGTAAAGTATAAGATGTAACTTTTTTGTTGAGTCTAAAATGTATGCATGAATTCTTTCTTTCTTTCTTTCTTTCTTTCTTTCTTTCTTTCTTTCTTTCTTTCTTTCTTTCTTTCTTTCTTTTTTTGAGAGGCAGAGTAAGTGAGATGGCTTCCATCTGCTGGTGCACTCTCCAAATCCTCTCAATGGCCGAGGCCAGGACTGGGCCAAAGCCAGGAGCCAGAAATTTAATCCAGGTACCCTACTGGAGCAACAGGAACCCATTCACTTGAGCCTTCCAGGGTCTGCATTAGTAGGAAGCCGAATTCAGGAGCCAGAGCTGGGAATTGAACCCAGGCATTCTGATATGGAACATGGTCTATATTAACCACTATGTTAAATGCCTGTTCTTGAATCTTAATATATTTATAATTGAGATATATTCTTATTAATCAAATGTTATTTTTAAGGCTAAACAACAAATCAAAATAAGTGCTTATAGAGGGTACACACAAAAATAGTTGTGACATAGTCACAGGATGGAATAATTCAGCAATTTAAAAACAAAGTGCTATACACATTGATAACATTACAGTTATTAAAAGGAGCCAAATGCAAAGGAATAAATACTGCTTAGTCTCATGTGAAATTTAAAGTCAGGCAAAGCTAGTGAATGGCAATTGGTGGTTACCTGTGGGGAGAGGCTTGGTTGGGAAGGTTCTCTAGGGAATTCTGTGGGGTAATCATCTTGACTGGTTGTGGTTACAGCGCTGTATCTATTTGCCAAAATATATCCAGTTTTACTCTTAAGTTCTGTGCATTCTCTTTATAAATTCACTAACCAAAAACTTAGCATATACAATACAACCAAAACATTCCTGAGACTAACCCAGAGCAGATCTCTAACTTAACAGTTAAGTTACTAGTACTTTTATATACCATTATACATAACTGCATATTTTTCAAAATGACAAGTTATGTGAAAGGATTTAAAATAATTCCCTTTCCGTGTACTAAACCATTTGTCTAAAATAACTTTTTCAGCCCAAATTATATTCATCATAAATATCTATTATTAAATGAATAAAAAAGAAAAAAGAACATAGGAATCAGCAACTGACCGTTGAGTCAAAATCAGGATCACAAGAATTTTGCCAAGAACCTGCTGTGAGTGAGGTGTTCGATGTTCATTATTTCAGTTACCCATTACCACAATCATAGTCCTGGTAAATAGATTTAAGCTCCATTTTACAGATGAATATATTTAGGTTTAGATAGGTTAAGTAACTTAAAGGCCCAAAGTTCGTAAGTGGTGGAACCTGGTTTGGAACCTAATTCAACTGACTGCAATCTAAGCACTTTCCACAGAAGCCTGTTTCAGAGATCAGTGAATAACAAAATAACTGATGGATTGATCACTTTAGTGAGTCCTAGGGGTCCTGACTACTTCAGTGCCTTTCCAAATGTCTCTTCCACTTGCAGAACCAGGCTTCCAAGTAATCTCCATACCTTGTCTGTTTCCCTTAGGTGCTATGAAAGTCAAAGATTGGCAGTTCTACCAATGTGATAACATCAGTTCTGAAAATAGCCATGAGGCAAGGGGAAGAGAGAAGGTAAGTCATTGCCTTGCATTCTTCAAAAGCAGGGAAAGAGTAGCAGAAGAGCAAAGCAGAGAAACAAAAGGCAAAAGGAAAGGTAAATTCAAAGGCAATTGAAGATATACTGAAATAGATACATTTGGCTGTAGAATTTAGCTTTTTTTTTTTAACCAATTTCTAGTGAAAAATGAACAAAAGAATTGCTGACACTGAGATAGAATATTGACATTATGGAGGGCTTCAAAAGGAAGTAGAGCAAAGTATGGCTTATTGTTATTTTAATAAAAGAGATATTAACAGATTAAAAGTTTTGAATGCTTAGACTATTGTTAAAAATGTATTAGCACACTTTCTTGAAGCACTTAGTTCTGAGTAAAACCTATTTCTCCCAGTTAAAGCATTCTGAGTTATATTCCTAACTAACTTGCTCATTAGCTTTGCACATTTCTTTTGGTGTCTCAGTGTTATTACCCATGAATGAGATGCTTAGATTAAATGTTCTAATAACAATCACTACCTCTATTGGTTGTTCTCCATATATGTGTAAATTACAACCAAAATATTCCTAGGACTAACCCCCAGCAAATCTTTTGCTTGATACTTTTCTACTTGCACCCCTCTATACCATTATACATATTGCATTTATATTTTAAAATGGCATGTCGTATGATAGGTTTGTACATACATGTCTTACTATAAGCGTGCTGGGACCCATACTAGATGCTTTAAAGTAAGTTTTCTCATTTAATTGGTGCAACACTGTATGAAATCTCTCTCTGGCTCACTCTCTCACACACTATTCAATAAGTTAATGGAAAATGCATTACAAAAAAATTACACACAGTGGCAATTGTGGCATGGAGGGTTGAGCAACCATCTTTGACCCCTGCATGCCATATCAGAGTGCTAGTTCAAGTCCCAGCTGCTGTGCTTCACATTCTTCCCCTGCTAATGTGCCTGAGAAGGCAGTGGAAGATGGCTAAAGTGCTTTAGGACTCTTCCAACCATGTGGGACACCAGGACACAGTTCCTGGCTCCTGGCTCCTGGCTTCAGACCAGCCCAGCTCTGGCTATTGCAGTCAGCTGTGGAGTTTGACAGGCAGAGTTAGACAATGAGAGAGAGACAGAGAGAAAGGTCTTCTTTCTGTTGGTTCACCCCCCAAATGGCTGCCATGGCTGGCACACTGCGCCGATCCAAAGCCATATTTTTTTTAACATATTGAATATTCATTTCTAATATTTCAGTTTGATTTCTCTTCAGAATCTCTATATTACAGGAAAATTTTTCATCCATGTAATCTATGGATTTCTTTAACTCATGAATTTGCTTCTCGTTGCTTCTTAGTAAACCTGTGATCATTCTTTTGAATTCCTTTTCAAGCACTTCAACAATCTCTTAATCTTTGCGTTCTAATATTGAAGTATTGTTGTGTTCCTTTGGGGAGCCATGCTTTCTTACTTATTGTTGTTTCCTATATTTCTGAGTTAATTTTAGGCATTTGTGGATATACTTGTTGGTTTTTTCCACTGGCAAGTTTTATCTTTGAATTATGCCTCTACGGCTTAGTGTAGTGTCTTCTTCTTCAGTGAATACCCAGAGGCATGTTCTGCATGAGGCCAGGGAGCTCTAGTCACTGCTCAAGGGTTGGGGGAGAATCCAGAGTGATACCCAAGTTGGGCATGGTAGACCTCTTCTATTGTGAGTGGGGCAGGGGTAGGGTGTATCATGCCTGTTGGTGTAATCACTACCTCACCTCCTCTCTTCCAAAGTGATTAGTGCCTGTGGTTAGACCACAGTGGGTACAACAGTCACCTGCCCTGTCACATGAACTACACAAAGGATCTGTGCAGTTCTCAGTGTGATCCTAGAACCCTGTGTCCACCCCAGGCAATCAGGAGCTCTGAGCTTCTGACACCTGATACATTGATTGCCCAGATACCCAGCTATACTCCATGCCCTGCTGTGCAGTCCTAGAATTCCCATAGTCATAGAACGCAATTTTCCTACAGTCACAGGGTGCAGAGTATCCCCTCTCAACCCCCTGAGCCTACCCAGCCTGCCCTGTCCACAGAGAAGGTAGAGATGTTCCTAGAACCATTTGCCTGTAGATGCTCTGCCTTGGCAATTTGAGCCCCAGAGCCTGTGATAGGTTGAGAGGATGGGAACACCTCAGAGTTCTAAGTGGGTGCCCAGTCCTCTGTCAACCCTCCCAGCCAGACTCAAAGTCAATGGGAAACATGGATTATTCCCTCTAGTAAAATCTCCTGGTTGGGCACATAAGAGTTACCACAGCCTCTACTGGTGTCAGGATGACCCCTTATCCCCGCCAGTTGCTGGGCACCCTTGTATAGGGATGAGGAAGAAGAAATATGCTTTTCTTTTCCTGGATTATGTGGGTACCCAGCCTCCTGCTGGGGCTCCAGGCTGGACTCAAAGTCAGTGTGGTCCACAAGGTTCTCCCTCAGGCAGCATCACCAGTGACATGGGCTGCTGCATTCTGCTTTCACCTCACTCTCAGAAGCTGATGTCTCCTCTAGCCCCTGGCTGAAGTAGTTGTGTGAGGTGCCCATCTCACAACTGTGGGCACACTCGTTCCGTGCTTCTCCACATTGTCCATATTTTTTCTATAGAATTTCCACTACAAACTTTTCTCCAGCTCTCCCCTGAGAATACACTTCCTCCACTTTTTCCTGCAATCTTCCCCTAGTCAAAACTAGCACATCTTTTCCCTGTTCATCCATCTTGGCATCTAAATTTATCTTTTAATTGTATTTTCACATGAATTTTTTCACTTACTTATGTGTTGTATGTAATTGGGTATATATGAAATATTCCATATCTAATCAATGTGAAAATGAAAATTCAGAGTTTTAGGTTTGGGATTTGACTCTGACTCTATTTAATTCCCAAAAACTGTTCAATCCTTCTTATTTATGGGTTCTTTGACTTTGCTGTACTAAGATTTTATTCTCTGACATCAGACAACAAACAAACCTAGAGTTAGATATGAATTCTTGAAATTCAGATCACTTAATTGTGTCTTACGTTTCTCTTTATTTCAAACACCAAGCACATTTTAGGCTTGTTTGAATTCAAGTGAAAGGACCAAAATAAATTAATGATCATCTTGTTAAAAAGACTTATTTATCTATTTGAAAATCAAAAAGACAGAGAGTGTGAGAGAAACATAGAGATTATCCATCTGCTGATTCACTCCCCAAATGATCATAATGCTCCTGGCTGGGCTAAGCTGAAGCCAGGAGACCAAAACTACATCAGGGTCTCCCACATGGGTGGCAGGGGCCAAAGCACATGGTCAATTTTCTACTGCTCTCCCACTCACATTAATAGGGAGCTGAATCCAAAGTAGAGCAGCCAGGACTGAAATTGGCACCTGATAAGAGTTGCTTAGGCAGCAGCTTAACCCCCTGCACCTCAATGCTGGCCCCTAATATAGGACTTAGAAGACAGAGCACAGGAAAGTATACAGTCAAACCAAAGAAAAGAAGAGGAAATTAGAAATCTAAAAAATATTGTTGGGAATCTACAGGATACTATTAAATAACCAACATTTGGGTTCTAGGAATTCCTGAAGGCATGGAGAGAGAGAAAGGATTAGAAGGCCTTTTAGCGAGATACTAGCAGAAAACTTCCTGGGTTGGGAGAAGGACAGAGACATCCAAGTACAGGAAGCTCATAGAACCCCCAATAAACATGAGCAAAAGAGATCCTCACCACGACACGTTGTAATCAAACTCACCACAGTGAAACATAAAGAAAAGATTCTAAAAAGTGCAGAGAAACATCAGATTACTCTCAGAGGATCTCCAATTAGACTCACAGCAGACTTCTCATCAGAAGCCCTACAGGCTAGGAGGGAATGGCGAGACATAGCCCAGGTACTAAGAGAGAAAAACTGCCAGCCCAGAATATTATATCCTGCAAAGCTCTCCTTTGTGAATGAAGGTGAAATAAAGACCTTTCATAGCAAACAGAAATTGAAAGAATTTTTCGCCACTCGTCCAGTCCTGCAAAAGATGCTTAAGATGTGTTGCACACGGAAACACGGCCATCACTATGAAAGAAGGTAAAGGAAGAAAACCTCCCAGTAAAAGAACATGGAACGTTCAAAGCATATATTAGAAATATCTTTGGGAACATGGCAGGGCAAAGTTAGTACTTATCAATAGTCACATTGAATGTTAATGGCCTCACCTCTCCAGTTAAAAGACACAGACTGCCTAGATGGCTTAAGGAACAAAACCCATCTATTTGCTGCTTACAAGAAACACATCTTTCCAACAAAGATGCATGAAGACTGAAAGTGAAAGGTTGGAAAAAGATATTCCATGCCAACGGAAACCAAAAAAGAGCTGGCGTAGCCATCTTAATATCAGACAAAATAAACTTTAACACAAAAACTGTTAAGAGAGACAAAGAGGGGCACTATATAATGATTAAGGGATCAATTCAACAGGAAGATGTAACTATTATCAATGTATATGCACCTAGTTATAGGGCACCAGTTTATTTAAAAGATATGTTAAGGGCCTTAAAGGGAGACTTAGACTCTGATACAGTAGTATTGGGGGACTTCAATACTCCACTTTCAGAAATAGACAGATCAACCAGATAGAAGATCAGCAAGGAAACAGCAGATTTAATAGACACTATAGCCCAAACAGATCTAACAGATATCTACAGAACTTTTCATCCTACACTTAAAGAATTTACATTCTTCTCAGCAGTACATGGAACCTACTCTAGGATTGACCACATACTAGGCCATAAAGCAAGTCTCAATAAATTCATAAGAATTAGAATCATATGATGCAACTTCTCAGACCACAGTGGAATGAAGCTAGAAATTAGCAACTCAGGAATCCCTAGAGCATATGCAAACACATGGAGACTGAACAACATGCTCTTGAATGAACACTGGGTCATAGAAGAAATCAAAAGAGAAATCAAAAACTGTCTGGAAGTAAATGAGGATAACAACACAACATATCAA